AAATGAAAAGGGACGGAGATAGATAGATAAATAGGATAGATAGATAGATAGATGGATAGATGAAAAGAAGATAGATAAGGAAAAGGACGGAGAGAGAAAGAATAGATGAATAAGATAGATAGATAGTTAGATAGATAGATAGATAGATAGAGATAGAAAAGAAATTAGATAAGGAAAAGGACGGAGATAGATAGATAGATAGATAGATGATAGATAGGAGATAGATAGATAGATAATAGATAGATGAAAAGAAATTAGATAAGGAAAGGACGGAGATAGATAGATGGATAGATAGATAGATAGATAGATAGATAGATAGATGAAAAGAAATTAGATAAGGAAAAGGACGGAGATAGATAGATAGATAGATAGATAGATAGATAGATAGATAGATAGATAGATAGATAGATAGATAGATGAAAAGAAATTAGATAAGGAAAAGGACGGAGATAGATAGATAGATAGATAGATAGATAGATGAAGATAGATAGATAGATAGATAGATGAAAAGAAATTAGATAAGGAAAAGGACGGAGATAGATAGATAGATAGATAGATAGATAGATAGATAGATAGATAGATGAAAAGAAATGAGATGAAAAGGACGGAGATAGATAGATAGAAGAAAAGGATAGATAGGAGATAGATGAAAAGAAAATAGATAGATAGATAGATAGATAGATAGATAGATAGATAGATAGATAGAAGATAGATAGAGAAAAAAGGAAAAGGACGGGATAGATAGATAGATAGATAGATAGATAGATAGATAGATAGATAGATAGATAGATAGATAGGAAAAGGACGGAGATAGATAGATAGATAGATGATAAAGAAATAGATGATGATGAGAGATAGATAAGGAAAAGGACGGAGATAGATAGATAATAGATAGATAGATAGATAGATAGATAGATAGATAGATGAAAAGGAAATAGATAGATAGATAGGGAGAAGATAGGATAGATAGATAGATAGATAGATAGATGAAAAGAAATTAGATAAGGAAAAGGACGGAGATAGATAGATAGATAGATGAAGATAGATGAATGAATGATAGATAGATGAAAAGATTAGATAAGGAAAAAGGACGGAGATAGATAGATAGGATAGATAGATAGATAGATAGATAGATAGATAGAAAAGAATAGATAATAAAGGATAGATAGATAGATAGATAGATAGATAGATAGATAGATAGATAGAAAAGAAATTAGATAAGGAGAGATAGAAAGGATAGGAGATAGATAGATAGATAGATGAATAGATAGATAGATAGAGATAGAAAGGATAGATAGATAGATAGATGAAAAGAAATTAGATAGATAGAAAAGGAGAGATTAGAATGGAAGGATAGATAATAGAAAAAGGATAGATGATAGATAGATAGATAGATAGATAGATAGATGAAAAGAAATTAGATGAAAAGGACGGAGATAGATAGATGATAGATAGATAATAGATAAAAGATACATGATAGATAATGAAAAGGACTAAGATAGATAGATAGATAGATAGGATGAGATAGATAATAGATAGATGAGATAGATAGAGAAAGGAAAAGGGAGAGATAGATAGATGGAGATAGATAGATAGATGATAGATAGATAGGAGAGAATAGATAGATAGATAGAAGGAAAAGGACTGAGATAGATAGATAGATAGATAGATAGATATGATAGATAGATAAAAAGAAAGATAGATAAGGAAAAGGACTGAGAGATAGATAGATAGATAGATAATAGATAGATAGATAGATAGATAGATAGATGAAAAGATAGGATAGATAGATAATGAAAAGACTGAGATAGATAGATAGATAGATAGATAGATGAGATAGATGATAGATAGATAGAGATAGATAATGAAAAGAACTTAGATAAGGAAAAGGACTGAGATAGATAGATAGATAGGGAAAAGGACTGAGATAGATAGATAGATAGATAGATAGATAGATAGATAGATAGATAGATAGATAGATGAACAGAAATGGATATTATCATGCGCTCTATGCTGTTATTCAATGGTGTTGAAATCTTTTGCTACATAGCAGAAATCTTTCACTGCCCAACAGCCTTAGTCTTGTTTATATATCTATTGTAGTTTTTTGTGTGTGTTTGAAAAACTGGAACGTAATACTTTTGTGTATTAATTGCTCGCACACACTCACACATACACACACACACACAATTATTCTCTGATTTGTCTAAGATGAATGGATTAAATTGTGTGATATGAAGAAATAGTGTCTTCTTTGTCGTGCTTTTTCTATTTTCATTTTAATTGTGGTAAAATATTTTGGCAGGTTGAAAGTTTCTCTTCTCTTTCTCTCTCCCCATTTTCTTTTTTCTAGTAAAGAAAGTAAACACTTTTCCATTAATTATTCATCAGGAAAAAAAAACGTTTCTAGAACTGTTTTAATTTGACTGGTTTCCTCGCATATTGCAATTTGCTGGTCTTTGAGGACTCGTTACCAAGGAGATCATTTACTCACGTATATTTTCCAGTCACTTCCAGGGTCTGAGTGTAACTCTATACTCCATAATAGTTATCTGTCTATATTTCTGAGATGAGGTATCATCCTCACCTTTGTCGCCATATTTATTACAACGTGTCAGCCTTTGTATGCTGCGTCCTTATCCAGGTGGTTGGAATGTCGAACTGAACCCTTTATTTCGCTCGCTGGGGTAGACTGTTCTAGTTCCACGTGTCATGTGTAATGTATATCAGTTATCAGTTATCAGTTATCTCCTGTTAATTCTTCTCTCCAAGTTCTCCACTGCCTTAACCAGGTATTGAACTCACAACTCTTTAGGTCCTTGAGGACACATGGCACAGTGGATGAACGCGTTGGTTAGATCCAGTGACAGGACCCAAAAAGTGTGATTTCAATCCTCGGCCTAGATTTGTTTCATCCTCAAGCGAACTCTGGAATCCCATATTAAAATGATTGGTTTTCTCCATATCCATAGAAACTAATATTACGAGTGTATCTGCTTATAAAGCCCCGTAAATTTCAAAATTAGTTATTCCAAAAATCGTTTAGACAGAACTAGGTACTTTAATTTAATTTAATTTCTGTAATTGAATTGGAAGTTTTTAGCTTCTGTTTTTGAAACATGGCAATTCCTATGTAGCGATGGAATCATATTTTTTTTAAATTATATATATATATATATATATATATATATATATTTATTTAAAAAAAGAACATTTTTATGTTTAACGTTCTTTTTATAGATACAAGTATTTAAGTAAATGCTCTGTTTATAATAAAATTTATCTGAAAATTTCTCGGACATTCAGGCCGGTAAATGTTATTTAATACGGTTTATTATAATTTTACTTAAATACTTGTATTAAAAAAAGAACGTTAAACGTAAAATATCTTTAATAAATAAATTGTCGGACTTTGTCCATTTCTTAATATATATATATATATATATATATATATATATATATATATATATATATATATATATATCAAATGATTAGTGCAAAAATAATGACGTAATAATGTCGTTTTTTGACGTATTTTTTAAAATTCAAAAAACGACATTATTACGTCATTATTTTTGCACCAACCTAATATATATATATTAGAAAAAATATATTTTAGGGTAGATCAGATATATACTTTGCTTCATTTTTAAAGTTCCACGTGTTGCACAGAGTATGCAATGTGCGTTCAAATTAATTTCCGTCGGGTTTGAAGTTGTACATTCGAGATGTGCATTCTTTTTAAAAATTTCAGTATGTTATGCCTGTTTAAATTAAACGATTAAATTTATCCTTTATCGGATATTAGTATACAACACAGCCTCTTTTAATTAGAGAATAAGATATAACTTCGAATTCGATAAGAGAAAAAGATCGATTTAAATTAGCATTGTGAAAGTGTTGACAGATGTAATGACACAAAAGCCACCGCTCAGTACACAATAACAGACATTAATTGATTTTATATCTATTTCAAACCAGAAATAAAATGCCTAGACTGGAAGCCAAATGTTAATTCTCAAAGTAAAAAAAAAAAAAAAAATTTAATACTGTTTATTTTATTCAGTCAATCTAGGTCAGACATTCATAAGTCAGCCATTACGGTCCTGCATCAAGATCAGAAGGTCATTAGGTTTGTGTCTGTTCAATGTAGGCGAATGTTGGGCGATCAGGCCGGCTTGTGCCATGGTTAGGTGTCCAGAGCCGTAGATCAAGTTCTTGTTTTGCTTGCCAACACTGACCTGCAAAACGCATTCTGCGCTCGCGTAAGATTGTAGAAATATCAAAGATGGGTCCATAGAACTGTGATTTATACATGGAACCCAGAAGGACTGTGATTTATTTGGATGTTGTCTACAGCAAATGTTAAGTATAGCTCTCTTCATCTGAGTGTAAACTTAGGTTTTACTCATCAAGACTCAAGTCGAGATCCCGCAAAAAAAAGTTCTTGTTTTACTCGCCAGGACTGTCCTGCAGAGCGCGTTCTACGTAATATTGTAGAAATATCAGGAATGGGTCCATAGAACTGTGAATTAGTTGGGTGTTGTCTCCAAGAGATGTTAAGTTTAGCTCTTATCATCTGAGTGTAGGTTCCATCAAGCTTAGATTCTAAGGATTTTTATGAATAACACAGCAACTATAATGGTCCTGCATCAAGATCAGAAGGTCATTAGGGAGATATTGTTTCATAACATAGCTGGTCAATGTCGATGCTTGCTGGGCGACTAACCCATCTTAGTCCATGGCTAGGTGTCCAGAGTAGTAGATCACTCGGGAATTATTGTTTTGCTTAACAGCAGTGTTCACATAAGATCATAGGAATATCAGGGATGGGTCCATAGATCTGTGATTTAGTTAGATGTTGTCTCCAAGAGATATTAAACATGCAAATAACAGCAAAAAACTGCAATATGAGCACTGGTAAAAATGGTTGCTGAACACATCAGGTTTATAATAAGGACACATGGCACAGTGGATAAAGGCGTTGGTTAGATCCAGTGACAGGACCCAAAGAGTGTGAGTTCAATACCCAGTTAAGGCAGTGGAATACTTTCAGAGGGAAATTAACAGAAGATAACTGATACGTGATATCCATTAAACATGGCACGTGAAACTAGAACAGTCTACCCCATTGAGCGAATTAAAGGGTTAAGTTCGACATTCCAACCACCTGAAGAAGGCCGGACGTTGTAATAAATATGGCGACAAAGATGAGGACAATCGTTTGAATAATGTAAATAATGTAAGGGATGTTAAGTTTAGCTCTTATCATTTGAGTGTGGGTTCCATCAAGTTTAGAGTCTAAGGTTTTAGTTAATCTCCAAGCAGTGGCATCATACATAAACACTGTTTCTACAGTGGCTCAAAAGTATCTCCGCTTGAGGTTGTCTGGTAGATCAGATTTCCAGATTACATCCATTTTATTCAAGGTGGGCCAGGCTTTAGCTATGCAGATATTCACATCATTTTCAGTAGAATTTATTTCGCTTCCTAGGTTTGTAAAAGATTCAACAGATTTTATTATTTCATCTGGGACAGTTTATATTGAGCTTTGCTGGTTGAAGTCTATGAGTTCAGTTTTAGAGGCATTGACATAGAGTCCAACATCGTTAGCAGGATTTTCTAGTTGATGTAGGAGAACTGAAACATGGGTAATGGTGACTACGGTAATAGCTAGGTCATCTGCATAGTCAATAATGATCAATGTTAATACAACTCCAGACATTAACCCTCTACCTTGAGTGACTCTTGAGCCTTGTATTCGGTAAAAATGTGTAAAACAAAAGAAAATAAAAAGCAGATTAGAAAAATAGATTATTTTTACTATATCGATGTTAATTTAAATGATTGTCAACGTTTTAATCAAGTATTCTTTACTATGAAGTATGTTCTCCAGAGCCGTTGATTTTTGTTGGATCGGTAAAAATTATAAAAATAAAGCAGCGATTAACATGAATCAATAGTAAAAAAAATATTTGAAGCTAAGGAATCCTGGCGCTATACAATCACAGAGAGCTTTTACCAAATAACAAAAACCACATCAATTGACCACTTCCAACAGAAACGACGCCAAAACAGTAACCAGAAATTAAAAAAAATGATACAACCCAAAACAAAAAGCATCGTTAGCAGGATTTTCTAGAATTTTGGCATTGGTTGTCTAATTGAATTTAATCAAAGGATTGTACGACATATGCACCACTCAGATAAAATAAAGCTTCTTGTTCTCTCAAGAAGGCCCCATTGCCTTGGACGTCTATTGGGACTCACTCTCACCTCAGACCACAAGTGGAGCACATATATCCGATCTATTGTTAAAGTTGCTGGAAAAATGATCGGTCCATTGTACCGGTCCAGTAAGTATCTGGATCCCCTGCTATACTTATGGCCACATCACGTTTCCGTACGATCAACGAAGTTAAGCAGTACCTGGGTGGGTGACAAACCTGGGAATACCAGGTGCTGGATGTGTGGATGGTGTAATGGATAATGGCTCGGAATTGTTAATTGGAGAGCCGAGTTCCAAATTCATTTCGGTTCGTTATATTCACTTAAGAGCAAATACCTTTCGGAAGGGTATGAATCCATCTCTTCTCCCTCCAGTTATGGGTTAAATAGTGTTGAAACTTTGACTGTTCACTTTGACGTTGCTGACTCAACTGCTGGGATTTGAATAATTCAGATATGACTTTGGATAATTCATCCATCTTTTGCTAATAATGTTCATGCAACAAAGAATATACTTTTAATTTGTGTATCCACGGATATAATATAATCTGACCAGAAAAATCGAAACAACTTACGACTTTTTTATTATATGTCTTGCTTTATAAAATATTGTTGAGCAACCAAAAAAAAAATTTTTTTTTTTTTAAAGTTCGTTACCTTTCAAAATCGACACGATGTATTTGTGCGCTTTTTAAATCCATGCATGTTTTTGTATTCGGCCCGTTTTTTTGTTTTTTGTTTTTTTTTAAATCACCGTTATTCGTTTACGACACCTTTCAACGTTCCTTTATGCTTAGTCGTCCTTTAACGAGTTCTAAATATCCAGAAATTCAGAATCCTTCGCCGTTCCATTAGATGTTGGACTTTTAATTAATAATTTTTTCCTTCAGCCTGGGTTCTTCAATGACTTGTCCCAATTGTTGAAGGCTGTCAATTATCAATTCTTTTTTTTTTTTTTTCGTATAGTTCTTTCTACCTCGTCGCCATTGTTGAAACTTGACTAATGCATGGAATAATAATGCAACACAAAATGTACTTAGAACAAAATGTATTGAAACAAGAAAGTGTACACAATATTTACATATAGTCTTTTTGTATATTCCTGGTAAGACCGTTCCTGGAGAATGTTGACTGAGTCGCAGTCGGCAGAGTCTCTGGTTGAATCTCTTGATTCCTCCCTCTCTTCCCTGTACCAACCATATTTTTATGGTCGGTACTCCACTATGCAAATTAGGTGGATCCTACCACAACAATTAGTAAGGCTTGTATCACTGAAACATTTTTCCTCTAAGGATGCTTTTCCTCTAAGGATGTAGGCGATCATGGCTCTCCACAATTTCCTATCCTTGTTAACTCTTAATAAATGTTGACTTTTTTGTTATTACTCCAAAACTCTGTTCCGCCATCCATTTACTCAAGCTCACTGATTAGATTATGCATTGTTTTCCTCTGTCCCTCTAGCCTTCAATCTGTCCTGTGTGTACCAGATTTTCCAAGCCTTCTCTCCTCATTATGTGCCCTAGAAATCTCAGCTGTCTTATCCTGATGTGAAACATTTTTCTTCTTCATGTACCGTGTCCCCTAAGGATGTAGGTGATCATGGCTCTCCACAATTTCCTATCCCTGTTAGCTCTTAATAAATGTTGTCTGTCGCTAGTCATCCTAACTGTGTTATGCATTGTTTTTCTCTGTCCCTCTTGTCTTCAATCTGTCCTGTGGTATATATATATATATATATATATATATATATATATATATATATATATATAAAAAGAAGAACTGCAAACGTTTTTGGTTGAAATGTGGATTTTTTCTTTTAAAATATATATTATACTCTATTTTCCATAAATTTCCATCTATTTTCCATTATGGAAATAGAGTATAATATATATTTTAAAAGAAAATCTTAAGTATTGTAATAAAAATAAAAATAAATTTTAAAATTCTGCCTACCCTCTCTAATTTCGACCATGTCTCTCACACTGTCTTCAAAAGTGTAAATTTTAAATAAATTTTTTCACCTTTGAAAGTCTGAAGATCCAGAGAAAAATACAATCTCTGGTGAAATAAATTATAACAACGGAACCTTTTATTTAAAGAAAAAACAGACCACTTTAAGTGGTCTTTTTTTTCTTTAAATTAAACTATTCGCTCTGACTTAACATTGACTTCTCCCGATTTCATCCTCCTTGGGATTATTCATATGGATCACCAAGATTTTCGTTACTTATATATATATATATATATATATATATATATATATATATATATATATATATATATATCATTTTTTTTTAATTTATAATATAAATATGTTATAAAATCACTACAAAATAGCTATTTTGTTTCAACACCCCGGTGTCTTATCAAGTGATGATGTTGAATGTAAAATAAATGGTTTTAAAAGTTTCAAATTAATTAACGATCCTTCGCAAGGGGAAAACGCTGTTACGAAAGTTAGAATGACCAATCAAAATACAAGTATAGGAAAATTCAAAAAGCTCGACAACAAAGTCATGTCTTTAAAATAGGGGTAATATTAAAAAAGAATTTATTCTAACCAACAATTATTAAATTATATGATAAAATTTGATATTAAAATAAAAACTGCCAATTTTAAAATCCAAATTTAATCACTATTAAGTTTAAAATTATAAAATTACCGACGAGAAAAGAAGAAATACATGTTATTCAATTTATTTCTTCGTTGAAATTGCGTTAGAATAGACGCTACATCATCCGGGCATCCGGTCCTCCGACAATATATGTATACATTTTAATCCCTAGTGTGTGAATGGGGTCCTGACCTCACGCTTAAAACAACACAAACACAATCAGATTATAATACATAAGCACCCAGACATATTTAGATATATATATATATACACACACAAAAAGTGACGAGACAGGGAACATCTCTACGGCCCTTTATGAAAAAAAGGGGGGGACCAACACATACATACATACACAATTAAAAGTGAATGCACTTTCCATACACATAGACACCGATAAATACATGTACACACACCCACAGACATTGACCTAGACAATCAGATACCACAACCAATAAATATTTAAGACTGAAAGTGTCATTAAACAAATGCTAGCCACTTATTAAAATATAACTTAAGCGAGCAAATATATAAAGATAAAAATGGTTAAAAATAATATTATTTAATATATTAAAAAAACGAAAATTCCAAAACCACAAATATCGATAAAAACATATATTTTAATCATATAAGTTGATAATAGTTTTATTATATATTAGGTGAAGGAAAATAAGATAAAAAGAACTACCTACTGAAATAAATGTACTGTCATACGTACATACATACATACACATATATACACGCGGCAGCAAACACAAACCAACACGCATATACATACATACATATATATATATATATATATACATAGAAATATATACATATAAATATATAAACAAATATATACATACATATCCATGATAACAAGTACACATACACATACATACATATATACACACATATATACACACATTTATGCACACATACTCACATATATATATACATATATACATACACCAATACACAAACATAAACATATATACACACATAGACGCATATACATACATACATATATATATATATATACATAGAAATATATACATATAAATATATAAACAAATATATACATACATATCCATGATAACAAGTACACATACACATACATACATATATACACACATATATACACACATTTATGCACACATACTCACATATATATACATATATACATACACCAATACACAAACATAAACATATATACACACATAGACGAACTCATGTAGTATATATATATATATATATATATATATATATATATATATATATATATATATATATATATGTATGTATGAGTCCCGACGGACGACCAAGTATGTATATGTGTCTGCATATATGTATATGTGTCTGCATACATCGATGTTTGCGTTAGTACGATGAATGACAAAACGACGAAGTTTCCCCCACCACTTCCACAATAACACCAATACACGCAATCTGCATAAACCCAAATTTTTTAAAACATTAATCAGTTTGTCTGACGATCGCTAAAGCGTGAAACCCAGGGTCACAAACTCACATCTATCCAACCAAATATATATATAAATTGCATATAAATGAAACTCAAAAATATTCCATTTCACCCCCCCAAGAAATTAATCTTGCGAGGTTTATCAACACCAGAGGGTTTGGAGATTAAAAAAAAAAAAAAAGAGAAAAAAAGGAAGCTTAAAGATGTTTAAAGAGACAGAAAGGAAGAGGAAGAGAAAAACGACAAAGTAAGAGAAAGAAAATTAAAAGAGAGAAAAGAAAACAAAAAGGGAGATAAAATACAAAAAAGAGAGGGGGAGAAAAAGAAAAGGGAAGAAGTAAAATACATTAGAGATGCAGGATCCTGTCTAGACAAAAGTTAAAACACAATTAGAAATTTAACACCTGTAAAAATAACCTTGACCTATATTTTAAAATATTAGTATCTTCTTTGAAGAGGAAAAATTACATAAGGAAATTCAATCTTTAAAACTTCGAGGTTTTTTTTGCTTTTTTGTTTTTTGGTGACAGAAGAATTGTCGTTGAGCTTTTAAAAGGTAAAAACTTAAATAATAATACAATACTTAAATGTTGCGATCAATTATGGGTTCTGTAATTTATTGTTGCCTATCGCATATGGCAGCGGTATGCCTCTCAAAAAAAATGTCTGCCAACAGAGGATTAGATTGCAATCAAAAGAGCCAAGACTAGCGAGGAAAAGAAATTCCCGTGCAAATGAAAACTCAGATCAAACAGCAGCCAGGAGAGCTTCCAATGCTGAGAATATGCAAAAACTTAACGACTCTCAAAATCCTGAACAAGTCGAAGACCCAATCAAGAATGCCACCGATAGTTACAAATAAAGCTGTAATATGTTCAAATGTTCACGGGACTTTTTTAAAGCTAGTATATTTCAACTGCACTGTTTGTTAGAGGTTCGATTCCATCTAGATTAATGCGGGATTAAAATTAATTTTAAAATGCCAAGATCTAAAACAGATTACTATTAAAAAAATTTAAAAAAAAAGATCCCATTGGAATTTTTTTTTCTACAGAAGAGTATTCCAAACGTCAGACTGCTAGAAAATTACAGACATCAAAAAATGATGCAGAGACCGGTGCAAATCTCGATAGAAACCATCTGGGAAGCCTAGAATAACCTCTATAACAGAGGATAGAAAGTTGAAACATAGAAAAAATAAAGTTCTTTCTTTAAAGACATCAAGTTGATTCATTTTTAAAAAATTTAGAATAAAAAATAATCAATGTGGTTCCAAATTTTTGGGTCAGCAAAATTGTTCAAATCGTGTAACAGCAAAATTGTCCAATTGATAGATTAAGCTCTGAGCTGTTGTATCTTAGAAATGATTAAAGGTATATTACTGGAATTCTTCGAAGTTTTTATAACCCTATTGGCAATAAGAATGTATAATTCGTCTCGAAGGTTAACAGAAGAATCGTGATGAAATCGATCATAAACGAAAATGACATGTTCATCATTAATTAATCATAGCTAAAGATCGGAAGCTCATGAAGGATTGGATTAAAGTTCAATATATATATATATATATATATATATATATATATATATATATTATTCCAGGATCATTTTCCAACTTATTCAAGATGATGTTTTCCCTCTCTAACTTTCTGAATTTCTGTCCTCGAGTAACAAGTTGCCTCACAGGTTTCGCGTCTTTTTTCACTGCTGTTTGGACTGTCATAGTTGAAACTCACGTATAATAATCGTCTTATGAATTGAGTTGGATCTTTTCTAATTGATCTCTTTAGCATTAAGTTGAAATGATGATCCCTCTTCCTGTTGTGACCTCCTGATCCAGTTTTCATCTCTACTGTTCCCTCTTTTTCAAACTTATTCACTTGATGGTTCTTGAATGAACTTTGAAGATGGGAACCAAAGTATGAATGTTGGTACCATTACTGAAGGCCTGAATGATCTTTTTCCTCTCACCATTGCTCATTTGGGAAGACTGTGGGACTGACACAAGATGATTTCGACCTGTTCTCTTTCTAACTGAATAACTCAAAGGGTTTTTTCAGTTATTCTTACGGCAAATGGTGTCAAGATGCCAAAACATTGTATCTGAAAACCTGAGGAAAAAAAAAAGAAACTCCTTTAGTTTAGTGGGGTTTTAAGATATCAAACATTTTGTGAGATGAACAATTTTACTGTTACACGATTTGGACAATTTTGCTGTTACACGACTTGGACAATTTTGCTGTTACACGATTTGGACAATTTTGCTGTTACACCGGATATATATATATATATATATATATATATATATATATATATGAAAGAAAATACAGAAAAAACAAAATTCTGAATATGCATTATTAATGTTAAAATAAAGTCGACGTCGGACGTTTCGGTCTATTTAAGACCATCTTCATGGACAATTGTTGTCTTTCCTCTGGCGTTGTCAACAATGCCGTTTGTATTGCTGTTAATGTGATTGGGGTTGGTGGGAATGGTCATGGACATGGGGATGGATTTGCAGTTAGAATTGGGGTTGTTTTTGTTAATGTCCATGAAGATGGTCTTAAATAAACCGAAACGTCCGACGTCGACTTTATTTTAACATTAATAATGCATATTCAAATTTTGTTTTTCTGTATTTTCTTTCATACTGTCGGATTTATATCCATATATTTTTACATATATATATATATATATATATATATATATATATATATATATATATATATATATATATATATAGAAAAAGTTGCAAATTAAAAAAATAATAATGTTTTATTTTATGAAAGTATTTATTTATTTATATATATATATTTGATATTTCAGATTGTCCTCAATCTTTCATCAGAAATAACTGTTTGTTACAAATAAATTAAAATTACTGTTTGTTAGCAAGTAGCGTCCTTCGCGAGACGCGGACGTCACGTGATATGGAACGTCACTGTTCGGATATTCCTAACTTAAATCTAACTGTCATAAATATTTTAGATGTTGTTTAAAAAAAAAAAATTTAAACTATATCTAAAAAAAATTGCTTAACTATAGAAATATTTATAAAGATTTAAAATACCTAAGTCTTTATTTAACCCTAGTTTATGTGTATTTAATTTTAAAATCCAATATGTTTCTTTTTTTCCGCGTGTGTATATGGAACTAAAATCGGAATCTATCAATAAACATTTGAAGTTTTCTAATGAGTGTCCTCATTGATTAAAGTGTTTAGCTATGGGGGAATAAGGATTGTTTTGACGTATATATATATATATATATATATATATATATACTGATGACGTATATATATATATATATACTGGTGCAAAAGAATTACATTTGAAATAACACCGGCTTGAGTTTCATTCTTCTTAAATATTTTTAGTATGGGAAGGGAACAGGGTGGAGGCGTACGAACTAAAGAAAAACCGGTACGAGTCACTGCGTGCCGAATGTGTGGAAAATGGTTGGACGTGTCACGTGATGCCTATTGAGATTGGGTGTCGTGGGTTTCTGGGACATTCGGTCATTTCCTTCCTTTCAAAAATAGGCATCACTGGCCGTTGGTTGAAAAGCGTTTCGCACCGCCTTAAAAAAACTGTTCAACAGGCGTCAAGTTGGATTTGGTCGAGATCAAAACAAGCAAATAAAATGCACGCAACATCTCGACCAAACATGCGCAAGTGAGATATTTGCGTGGTCATCTATAACGACTTTTACGTGCGCGTCAATAACGGCAAACGCGTTTAGGAAACTTTCATTACGGATAGATTTTACTTAAAGGAACGATTAATTATCTTATCTTCATACCCTGCCTGGTGGCAAACGCTTCTGGTGGCGCCAGGGGTGGCGGTCCCGCCATAGCCACCGAAACTGTGATATCACCCCTGGTCGACGGCTGATGAAGACAGGGTATCGCACGTGCTAACACACGTTGTATGTTAAAAAAAAATGGATGCATTTTACTTTGAAAATATCTTGGTTTTTAATTATTTGTTTGTTTGTTTTTTTTTCGGAATTCTTAGAAGTCTATCTGGTATTACTGGGGTTGCAACACGGTCTTTTCTCGAAACAATACCCCGGTATGTTAGCGTGAACGAAAGTCTTCAGCGGCCTTCATATGTTCTCTGTCTCGTATGTTTAGTTACCTGCAAACGCATGCAGAATGTCTCGCTTTATCTGTCGAAACTGATAACGAATACAGTAGGTGCTTCAAGGGCTGTTAACAAAAGAAAATACTTTTGATACACCCTTATATATAATAATAATAATTATTATTATTAATATATCAGTAATATAGTGGCAGCATAGAAAGCCTTTAGATGTGTAGATGAAATAAAATTTGGAGTCAAGGACTGCAAAAAAAAGAAAAGAAATAACAACAATAATAATAATAATAATAATAATAATAGAAATAATAATAAAAATAATACCAATAACAATAATAAGACCTTGAAATAGAAATCTCGAAAATGTGGCATATGGGAACATCAACAATCCCTGTTGTAGTTGGAGCCCTAGGATTGGTTGGAAAAGATTCCAGTAGACTAACTGAAGGGACTCCTGGAAGTCCATGCCTCAAAGAGGTACAAAAAATTGTTCTGACAAATACAGCCCACACTTTTTTTTTTTTTTTTTTTTTTTGTTAGTGGAAAGTGTCATGATGCCATTTCTAACCTTAGGTCCATGGGCGGGACCCGGAAAGAATTGTGTAAATGCTAAATATCAAAAAAATAATAATAATAATAATAATATTTTTTTTTTTTTTTTTTTTGCTAGTGGAAAGTGTCATGATGCCATTTCTAACCTTAGGTCCCTGGGCGGGACCGGAAAAGAATTATGTAAATGCTAAATATCAAGGAAATAATAATAATAATAATAATATTTTTTTTTTTTTTTTTTTTTTTTTTGCTAGTGGAAAGTGTCATGATGCCATTTCTAACCTTAGGTCCCTGGGCGGGACCCGGAAAGAATTATGTAAATGCTAAATATCAAAGGAAATAATAATAATAATAATATTTTTTTTTTTTTTTTTTTTGCTAGTGGAAAGTTTCATGATGCCATTTCTAACCTTAGGTCCTAGGCGGGACCCGGAAAGAATTGTGTAAATGCTAAATATCAAAGGAAATAATAATAATAATAATTTTTTTTTTTTTTTTTTTTTTTTGCTAGTGGAAAGTGTCATGATGCCATTTCTAACCTTAGGTCCCTGGGCGGGACCCGGAAAGAATTGTGTAAATGCTAAATATCAAAGGAAATAATAATAATAATAATAATAATAATAATGGGGAACTAGCAAAAAGTGAATATACCCACAGACAAAACAAGTTAAGGACATGTGTGCACTGGAAGATATGCAAGAAGCCCTAAATCGAAACCACTGAGAGATGGTATAACCACCAACCAGGTACAGTTATCCAAAATAATGATGTAACTATCCTCAGGGACATGTCAATTCAACCTGACTGGGAAATAAAAGCCAGCAGACCTGATATTATCATAAAAGACTAGAAATTCAGGAAGTGTATGCTTATTGACATACCAGTACCATCTGAGAGAAGCCCCTCTATAAAAATTATCGAGAAATTGTCCAAATACAAAGACCTGGAGATCGAAATTAACAGGGTGTGGGGAATGAAGACTGAGACTGTACCAATAGTAATCGGAGCACTGGGCCTCGTGAGAAAAGGAATGGTGAATTTTACTAATTTTACAAACAGTGTCCCAGCAGGTAACATCGTTGCCCAGAAGATCACCCTTCTAGGAACATCCCATATACAAAGAAAAGTGCTATCAAGTAAATGACAATTCTCCTATAGGGTGTAAGGACCATAGTTTGGACCCAGCTCTACGGGATACAAAGCAGGAAACATGACACACAAATAATAATAATAATAATAATAAAGTCAAGTGTAACCGACCAGATACAGAAACGATGTCAAGATAAACCGCTTCACGGTCAATACTCTGCCCGTACCAAAGAAGCTGATGCAAACAAACCCCGTGCCCATCAGTGGCTACCGTAGTGCGGGGTTGAAATCTGAAACTGAAGGTTTTATCCTTGCTGCACAGGACCAATGCTTGTTAACTAGAAATTATCAAACACACATACTGAAAAATTGTGTTAGTCCAAAATGCAGATTCTGTGATAAATATCCAGAAACGATTGATCATTTTGTATCAGGTTGCAAGGTATTGGCACCCACTGAATATAAAACCCGGCATGACAGAGTGGGACAATATCTGCACTGGATAATCTGCAACACTTACGTAAAGGAAACTGCAAGAAATTGGTATGAACACCACCCTGAACCAATACTGTAACAATTTTATGGGACTACACAATACACGCAGGCATAACAATCAAAGCTATCCCTGACAAAGTGATTAGAATCTCAAAGAGAAAATGCGGCTCCTTATTGAAATGACAGTCCCTGCAGACCGCAATGTATCTTTAAAGATCTTTAAAAAAAACTATCAGTACAAGGATAATGATGCCGTTTCTGACCTTAGGTCTCTGGTTGGGACTCGGAAAGAAATGAGTATACACCAGAAACCAAAGGAAATACAATAATAATAATAATAATAATAATAATAATAATAATAATAATGAAGAAGAAGAAGGATATAATGAAGTAAATGCCTTTAAAAATGGAAATACTTTTCGTACACCCTAATAATATTAATGATAGTAATAATAATAGTGGAATCAAAGTGTTGTAACCTAGAAAATGTATGAGGAATAACCAAAATGGAGGTTGGAAATGAAATGGTAATCTTTATAACATCAACAAAATACAATACTCGCCAGCGGCCTGAAGTAGGTAAACCACTGCTAGTCGTGGACTACTTAAAATAATGTCCAATGTATTTATGAGGATTGTGACATGCCCATTAGACTTCATAGGTACAGTATATAATAGATAGATAGATAGATAGATAGATAGATAGATAGATAGATAGATAGATATGAATAAGCAGAATAATGTATAAACAGATGGATATATATGAACAGATACAGAGAGAGAAAAAGAGAAAGATGAAAAATCCGAAACAGATAGATAGATAGATAGATAGATAGATAGATAGATAGATAGATAGATATGAACAGACTGAGATAGATAGATAGATAGATAGATAGATAGATAGATAGATAGATAGATAGATAGATATGAATAGACTTAGATTGTGTCGTAACCTAGAAATGGTAACTGAATGGAGGTTGGAAATGAAATGGTAATCTTTATAACATCAATAAAAATACAATACTCGCCAGCGGCGTCAAGTAGGTAAACCGCTACTAGTGGTGACAGCGTATTACGATATTTACCTGCCTCCCCACGAGGTAGGATACGGCGCAAGGCCAAATTTTGTGGGTAAATTCGAGCCGGTAGACCCTGCGTACGCGGTATAGAGACTCTGCCCAAGCAAGAGAGATCGATGCGGCAAGAACTTCACGCTATATATATATATATATATATATATATATATATATATATATATATATATATATAAAACACAAAGAAAAATCCTTAAATGTATTCATGAAATAAGCTTTGTAGAAAAGGCATGAAACAAGCGGGAATAGATTTGACATAATTTAGTATCCACAATGATACAATTGAATTGAATTTGAATTCATCTCATCTGTTGTCGCTAACATGGTGAGATCGAACCGTATTGACGAATCGTTCCTTCTTCCTGCTACAAAGCTTCCTAGACGCTTGTCGTCATTCACAGATTCCCTGTTCGGTATTTTTTTTTTGTCAGCGCTCCATTTACTCTGGCCCTGTGTCACACTTAAGCTCAGTGGCAATCAAAATAATGAGCAGAATTGGACGGAAAGTTCGAAGAAATATTAAAAGCACTTACAGACACGATTATTATTATTATTATTATCAAAGAAAACCGTCAAGTGCTAAAGATCCTAACATTCAGGATTGGGCACCTCGATGTGGTGTAATGATTAACAAGCTTATCTCGTATGACCAATGACGACGGAGTAGTGAGTCAGATCCTCATTAGGTACTCCATACTTTCGGCCTTGAGCCACATTTAAGCTACGTTTGTTAATGGTTTACAAGCTTGTCTCGCTAGATCAATTACGACTGATTAGCGAGTTCGAACCTCACTACGTCCTCCACACTTTCGGTCTTGTGTCATCTCTAAGCTACACTTTGTAAATAATGGTTTGTAAGCTTGTCTCGCGAGATCAATTACGACTGAAAAGCGAGTTCGATCCTTAATGGGTGCTCTATACTTTCTTCTTTGTGTCACATCTAATCTACGCTTTATAAATTAGATATGCCACAAGGCCGAAAGTATGGAGCACCCAGTGTTGATCTAACTCACTACTTAACCGTAATTGATCTAGCTTGCAAACCATTATCTACGCTTTGTGAATAATAGTTTGCAAGCTTGTCTCGGTAGATCAATTACGGCTAAGTAGTGAGTTAGATCCGCACTGGGTGATCCACACTTTCGGTCGAGTGCCTCATCTAAGCTACGCTTAGAAAATCACTACACCAATCAGGATTGCAACTACTTCGTATCTTAATACACGCTTATATATTCTCTTACGACAGCTGTTGTTATTGAGGCTTCTGCAATTCAGCTGCTGCTGCTACTGCTTTCCTACTTTAGTCCATGATGCGCGCGTCTCCTTGACACATCTACGCCTACTTTCACTTTCACTTTCATTTTTGCTAACTGAAGTTTGCGTCTTATTGTTGCTGAGATACAAACCCTAATACAACCGCAGAACGCGCACTCACATTACAGACGTTTCTATCTAGGAAGTCCATCGTCAGTTTATTGTTACTATTTAGCGTAACTGCTTATATTCAGTAAGATTTGTTTCACTAAACCACTATTTTTTCCAAATCAAATTTTTAAAGGTTGATAAACCGTAAAAAACGAATCAATACCATGACAGAATCTATTTAGCACCCTTAGAATCAGAGTAGTGGATTTTCGGAATCGAAGAATGCTAATGTTAATGATAATATTAGGCGTTTCCTTATAAGGAAACATTTGACATTCATTGACCGAGCAGCCAGTATTGCTTTCGATTGAAATTTATAAAATCTTTCTTCGAAAAAACATTTTTCGGGAAAATAGGTTTCTGAAGTCCAGTAGCTGTTATCGCTCTTTCCAGTACTGACGGGATTTTCCTTCCTAACATTTTATTTGACTTAATGTGGACTTTAAATTTAATACTTGACTAGCAGCTTGTCGATCAAAAAAAGCCTTCAATTAGAATGGAACAAAAACAGCAACATGTTTAGATGTAACAGAGTCTATATTCTTCAATTATTTTAAAGTACTTTCATTAAAAAAACATTTAGAATTAATGCAGTTACTGATATAATTTATTCAATCGAAGTTAGCCGAGGACATGAAGCGGTAAAACAGGCAACCCACTTCAGATCGCAATGATTTTGGAGTTTTTGAAATTCAATTTGTCAGTGTGTTACTAGGGATGTAAAAGAGGATACATTTATAAAGCAATTGTTAAATTTGATGAAAATTGATTGAAAGATCAACGAAAAATAAGAAAGAAACCAGTAAAAATCGCCATTTTTCGCTATTTACGCGAGTTTTCACCATTTAAACAATCAATATTGTTGGCTACAATTCAGTGAAATGTGTATGAGATTGCTTGAAATTCGAGAGAGCTTTTAGCTTAAAATTTGTTGAAATCAATTCGTGTTGAAATCGATTTTTCCTTTTTCGTGGTTTTTCGCGTAGAAACAAAAATGAGGTATCGCTAAGCTCGTCATGATGTAAGTAACCTACATACCGAGTTTGAACGAAATCAGAGGAAAAAAGTTGAATTTATCGACATTTGATCGGATTTATCGATTATTGATTTTTTTACAAAATTATCGATTGTTTACGCTATCTCTCAAATTGTACAATGTATATGTCAAGTTTGGTCAAAATCGATTAGATGGATCTCAAGTGAAAAGGTATCACACACAGAGACACACACACATCCTCTGTTTCATATATAAAGATAGCGATTGAGAATATAGCTGCCGGTTAAACATATGCACTTTTGTTGTGGGTTCAATCCCTCGTAATAGTAATGGCAATAATAGACATTTCTTTCTAAGGAAACACTCGGCATTCACTGACCGTGTAGCCGGTGTCACCGTCGATTGAAATTTATAAAATCTTTCTCTTAAAATAATTTTTTTCTGAAAAAAACAGGTTTCTCAAGTCCGATAGCTTTTACTGTTCTTTCCTGTATTGATGGGCGTTTCCTTCCTAAGATTTATCGTCCTGAGTAAGACGATAAACTACATCCGCGTTCTGGGTAAGACGATAAACTACATCCGCGTACTGGGTAAGACGATAAACTACATCCGCATCCTGGGTATGGCGATAAACTACATCCGCGTACTGGGTAAGACGATAAACTACATTCGCGTCCTGGGTATGGCGATAAACTACATCCGCGTCCAGGGTAAGACGATAAACTACATCCGCGTCCTGGGTATGGCGATAAACTACATCCGCGTCCAGGGTAAGACGATAAACTACATCCGCGTCCTGGGTATGGCGATAAACTACATCCGCGTCCAGGGTAAGACGATAAACTACATCCGCGTCCTGGGTATGGCGATAAACTACATCCGAGCCCAGGGTAAGACGATAAACTACATCCGTGTCCTGGGTATGGCGATAAACTACATCCGCGTCTAGGGTAAGACGATAAACTACATCCGCGTCTAGGGTAAGACGATAAACAACATCCGCGTCCTGGGTAAGACGATAAGCTACACCTGCGTCCTGGGTAAGACGATAAACTACATCCGCATCCTGGGTAATGTGGCGACAAAGATGAGGACAATAGTCCAAATAATCTAAATAATGTAAAGAGGATGTATTTTGCTTTTTAAGCTAAAATAATCGTTCCCTCGCCAGCAATTTACAACCGCCTGAGAAGTATTGTTATGCACTGAAACACGATTGCAATTGTGTAGCAATTCTTGAATGTTTTTGTTGTAATATCCTTATATATATATATATATATATATATATATATATATATATATATATATATTAAGACATGTTTCATTAGATAATTTAGACTAGTTTTACCTCCTTATTTTTAATATGATCCTCTCATACTCACGGACAAGCTTCTTAGTATCCTTATTAAAGAAGAAAGAAAGTTAACATATTCATTTATTCCGAGTAATTTCAACATTAGTAAAATGTCATCTTCAGAGTCTTGTTTTATCCAAGACAGATTTGTTGTATTTATCTGAAAATCAATTATTTTTATTTCTGACGTGTAAAACGCTAAACTTATGTACTGTACGATTTTTGCATTTCATTATGTACGCATACACTTGCAGTAACGTCAAGAGAGGTAACTAAGTTATTACAATGTCTAAACTATTAAAAGCTATTAGTTAAAACCTTGGTATTTTTAAACTATCAACTGTAAACATTTTAAAACATTTGTGCAGTATTAATAATTAATTTTTATTAAGGGTTGATTTCAATTTTTAATATAGATAGCTTCAAGAATTTTTCGTTTGTGTTTATTATTTTCATGAAAAAGTATAGATGTATTTTCAACAAGAATCTTTTTAAATTGCGAATGAGGGTAGGCATGCTGTTGCAAATGTTTAGAAATGTCAGATGCATCATTCAAATGAAAACTCAACCTTCGAGACAACGTAGTTGTAGTGTAACCAACATAAATATTTTTTTTTTTCTGTTGGAGATACAATCTCCCAAGGCACATTTAAATTTATATATAATGTTGGTTTTTCTGCAACACGTTAATTGGTTGGAAGGAGTCATTACGAATGATTAAATTGGATATATTGAATTTTGTATAGTATATAATTTTTATTTTTTCATAGGATCTGTAGTGGATATATTAGTATTTATTAGTTTTTTTAGGATATTTTAATTCTGTTTATAATTAGAATGTATTTCATTGTGATATAAAAGTTTAATATGCTTTGGATTATTTGAAGAAATATTAAATTCTATTTGCCTTATATTAAAATTTCGAACATCTTATTTCTTTATCGACAATATAATCAAGGAAGCTATTATTAATAAAAATTTGTTTTATATTTTTTAGTTCACTGTAGCAAATCTGTTTTGTGGATGAATTAATTTTTGTACGGTTCATTAGTTTTTTCTAATTGCTATTTTATTGTAATTTGG